CTTGTAACAGTCACATTACTCTCGGAGTCTCGGGTGGGAGCCTAAGGTCCGAATATGGACGGAAAGTCACCTATCGGGTCATATGGCATGCTTCGCTTTGTAAAACTGAGCGTCCGAGGGTTTTTCATATTATAAATGCAGACTGCGTGACCCATTGTCACGACCATGACGCAATCGTGACAGATTTACTTCCTGACCCACTGATGGTCGCCGTGAAAGGACATAGTGTCCTTTTTCCTGCCGTCCGGAAAAAGGACACCTGCTTTGCCCGCCGTGTATACTCTCATGATCTTGTGCATTCATTGATTTTGTCCCTCCCATGGTTGTCCGAACATCGCAACGTATTTATTGTCCCTGTTATGCATCGCTGGTTTTCTTTGTAGAGGCACGGTCAAGCCTCTCGAGGCGGCGCAGCGCCGTCGTCGCCTCGATTACACCCTCTTTCGACTGCATGCGTTTTGACTGCTCCAGGCTGGTGGCGAAGTAGTCTTTCGCCGCGGCTCGGTCGTTGTTCATCTGCAAATGAGGTGAATAAGTCTGAATATGCCTCATGAAACAGCACTCGCCTCTCTCAGTGACCCCAAGTTGAATAACACGGCGGCCAGGGCATGCTCGCAACCCGCGATCTGTTCTGGGTTGCCCCGGTGGGTCTTTGTGGTTTTATTGATGACAGCTAGGGCTTGCTGCGCCCACGCTTCTGCTTGATGTAGCTTATCGGGCGTTGGTGCTCCGCGCATAATCAGCTCGGAGAGATTGCTCATGAGTTGCGCAGCTAAGGGATGCATGAATACGGGCGCTCGACCGAGCGCGATGCTCTTACCGCGGCAGCTGTCCTCGGTAGATGCACTGGTTCCTGATCCCGCAGGAGGCATGAGGATAGATATGGCTTGAAGGTACAGCGTCATAGCATAACTAAAGACAGCGATATGAGCAACAAACGAGGGACAGGAACGGGGAAACTCACTCAACCTTGCCAGTCTTCGCGTAGAACGCGCCGAGCGCCTCGATCGGCGCGCCCACATCCGTCTTCGTCACCCACCGCGGCAAGTCCAGATCCGCCAGCACAAGCTGCACGTCCTTGCCCTTCTCCTCCCGCTGCGCCGCGAGCTGCACGTCGCGGTGCTGCCGCAGGTCCGCGAGCGTGCGCAGCAGCTCCTCGACGGCCCACGTGAGCCAGCGCTCCTCCTCCTCGGCCGGCTGCTGGTACGCGTCCGCCATCTCGCCGAGCTTGCACGCGAGCGCGACGCCGCGCAGGCGTTCCGGGCCCGTGAGCACCAGCTCCTCCTCGGGCGAGGGCGGGTGCTTGGACGTGGTGGGGGACCCGCTCGCGAGTTCCTGCACCTTGAGCTGCTCGCTATAGGCGATGGCTTTCTGCAGGCGCGCGAGCGCGTCGGAGTAGGTCGCGTACGCCTCGGCGGGCTTGCTGTTCGCTTCGAGGACTTCTGCGAGGGCGATGGAGATGCCGGAGAGTTTGAGGTAGGGCTCGTGTGCGAAGGCGGAGAGGGGGAGGGAGTGCGCGGTTTCTAATGCCCTGGGCGGTGCACACATGGATAAATGACGGAACATGGGATATGAACGGTGGAGGGATGCGCTTCTAGCAGGCACTAGTAGGATACACGCGAGAGCAGCTTACCTGTGCAAGTACCGCTCAGCGAGTACCAAGTCTCCATTGCGCTTCGCTTTAATCCCAGCGCGGAGGTCTCCACGGACTTCTGGTGGCCATAACGTAAACGTCTGGTAGAACTGGTAACTGGCGCCTCATCGCGTTCATCCTTAAGAAGAAGCGCCGACAAAAACAACGGCGCACATTCCATAGCCAGTCGTCGCTATCCCAACACCCAGAAGTATCGTAAAGACCGTCGAGATGCGCGACTGCCCTCCACCCGCGGTATCGCCAGTGCTGAGGCGCCTCCGGCTGCAGCTCGCAAAGGGCGGTCGACGTTGTAAAACATCAGGGGCGTGTCTCCTGCGCAAGGCAGAACGTAAGGGAGGTCGCTTGAGGCCGGCAGCAAGGCTGGACATGGCGGTATAAGGTGCGGAGGGTCGAAATTGTGGCGCGAAGCCTTCTACGCGCTATTTTTGGACCACGGGCGCTAAAGTTAACGTCTTTCCTCCGTTCGGTAGCCACGTCACTGGCATGCCACACTTGGCTGTGCCACATTTCCGTTCCCATTCCCCGCAGTCCTTCGGAACAACATGCTCGGTATTGGGTTGCACTTGTAATGAGCCCGGAGCAATGGACGATGACCCTGCGTCACCCCAGCTCGTCCTAGATGCTGAGCAAAATCATCTCGCGTTGGTACACTCTGGTGAGGAAGGGCGCATGCCAAGTATTCTTGTCAATAATTGGCCGACGAACGCTGAATCCGGAATGCGTAACTCATACGCACGGCCGGGACGCAGCGATACACTACTCCTGCTACTATTACTACTAGCGAACGACGCGCAGAAGTCCGGGTATACTGTACAAACAAGTAGGCATTAGATATACTGCAAGCGAGCACATGGATGCGTAAGTAGATGCAGACAGACGATGCAAGACGTGTCAGGACCTAGCGCACCGCGACCCCGCCGCGCCAGAAGCGCCACCGGCTCCGCTTCCTCCTCACCTCCCTCTCCCCCTCCCCCTCCCCTGCCTCCTCACCCGGCGTGCTTTTCAACCCCGACCCCGACCCCGAGCCCGCCGCCCTCTCCAACACGGCCGGCAGCGACGCCGCCGAGTCCGCGCGCGGCGTCGCGGGCGGCGAGCTCTCCGCGCTCGAGCACGACGCGCACAGCCCGGGATTCGAGGAAGAAGCGCGGGCGCGCGACATCGCGGGCATACTTAGCGATTCCGAGTACGGGCACGGGCGGGATGGAACGGAATGTGAGGACGGGGAGGCGGCGAGGACGACGTCCGCCGGGCCGGCGACCCACGCGCGCGGCGCGCCGCCGTCGAGCGCGCCCGACAGCAGCGCGTCCGCGACGGTGTACGCGGCGTCGTGCGGGAGCGCCGCGGCGAAGGCGCGCGCGTCGAGCAGGTACGGCAGGGTGCGTTCGCGGGCGGGCGGGCGCATCGCCGCGGGGACGCAGAAGGACAGGAGGAAGGACTCGATGCCGTGCACGAGCTTCGGGCGGGCGTCCCCCGACGCCGCGGGGAGGACGTGCACCAACGGCGCGCCCGCGTCGGGCGGCCCGGGCGGGAGGGCGTGGACGGGGCCCGCGCGCGCGAAGAGCGAGGAGCGGCGGCGGGCGGGCGGGGCGGCGAGGAAGGTGCGCGAGAGGGTGGTCACGAGGATCGCGTGCTTGAGGAGGGCCTTGTCCGGCAGGTGCGGCGGGAGAAAGTTGACCAGCGCGTCGAACGCGCGGGGGGACGGGTCGGCGGGGGGCGGCTTCGGCGAGGAGGAGCGGGACGGGGGGAGCGGGAGCGGGACGAGGTTCGTGGCGCTCGCGCGGGGCGAGGGCAGGGCGCTGCGCGGTGTCGGGGCGGGGTCGGTGCTGCCCTCGGCGAGCTCGAGGACGCCGTGCGCGGGCCGGCGGCGCCAGAGGCGGGCGATGCGGGCGGCCCACTCGAGGACGCCGACGAGGCGGACGGAGCCGGCGTTCTCGAGGGCGAGCGGGGCGGCGAGGCGGAGGACGCGGACGGCGGGGTGCGGGTGCGCGGGGAGGGCGAGGGGTTCGTGGGAGACGAGGAGGAGGAGGCCGGAGGACAGCTGGGGCGAGTGCAGGAGGGGCGCGAGGTTTGTGGCGGGCGTGACTGTGGCGCGTTAGTCGGACATGCGAGTAGCGGCCGAGCAACGCACCTCCTAGGACGAGCAGGACGTCGCGCGCCCGGGCCGCGAGCCGCTCGGGGTGGAGTGTCCAGGGCTCCCTGGCGCTGTGGGGGATGGCGGCGAAGGGGTCGATCGGGAACTTTGCCCGGGGGCGGAAGTCGTCGGACATGGCGGGCGGGCGGGGCGCGGCGCGGGCAGCGCAGACGATATTTGAGGGAAAGCAGGCGAGTCGCTTGGCAAGCCCGGCATCGACTCGGAGTGGCAGCGACGCAGGCCGCCGTGGCGTCATCCACACAGAGAACTTCGGCGATCGCGCGGGGATCTCCGAGCAGTCGATCTTTCCAGACAGCCCTCGCGTTGATTAGATCCAATGGTCACAAGTGGTCGGGATCACCGTCACCGCTTGCTGTATTTGCCCCTGCTATCTATGTCGGCACCGCACCATGCAGTATATAGGCGCACTGCAACAGAGTCCTTGGTGTACGCCCTCATGAAACTCCGAAACGCTGCCAAAGTCCGAGGAGGCTCGTCTACAGGCCAAGTATCCCGCTTCCCCGACCCTCCGCAGTCCCCGCACGCCCTTGGCGCATACACTCGCTCCGTGCCACTCGAAGATTCGAACGCGTAGGCCCTGACACGCTTCCCCGCAGACTGAGCCCCAGTCCGCGTCTTCACTTACAGTACTTCTGATACCACTACCGGATGCACCCATCCCCACCTCACTCATTTGCGGCTGAGTGCGTCAGTGCATCCTGCTCACGGCCACGGCACACCTCTGCGGTTTCTGCTCGCGGACATCCCGGAGCTGCAGTAAACCCACTCCCATGTTCCGGCTTGCCGTGCTCGCCTCCGCTCGACACCTCCCGGACGCTGTCGTTTTATCCCCCTCCTGCCTTACGTTACGCGCTCGTATTTATCGCAGCTGAGCGGAGGCATCAGCTGCGACGACCCTTTCCCGTACACGACTCACCGATTCCACATCCACAAAGAGGCGAACACAGACAAATGCATTAATCGACACACGCGTGAAGCCAGCGCGCACACGGCTCTCCGCCCATACAGACCACAAACGCGCCAGCGATGCACCCAGACAACGTGAAGACGCAAAAGTCTAAATCAAATCGCCGACGCGGAACACGGGACAGCCTGTACGGGGATACGATATACCTCTCGGTGCAAAGTGACACGTCCAGCGCCAGCAACCCCGTCCACGAAAGCGGGGGGCGGAGGGGGGGGGGGGTGGTCCGCCCGGGGCGAAACGAGCAAACTCACTTCACCAGACTAGCAATAGCAAACACACCGACACTCTCCATATACTGGCATGCCTGCACTACGACGGGCGCTCCGCTCTTGCTGGGCATACCTACCAATAGGCAAAAAAAAATAGAGGAAGAGAGACAGGTGGCAGGGCGGGATGGCTTCCCGTCGTGCCTGACTGAGATGCAACGACAGGCCGAAACTTCCAGCTCAAGGGGTCTTTGCAACCCCATCCGTGCAACTAGTGAGTGAGTGAGTGAGTGAGTGAGTGAGTGAGTGAGTGAGTGAGTGAGTGAGTGAGTGAGTGAGTGAGTGAGTGAGTGAGTGAGTGAGTGAGAATGAGAGGGGAAGTGAGTGAGTACCTGTCCCGTGAGTGCGCGTTGCACCATCCCCGTTCCTGTCCTCGTTCCTGGGCATACAAGCGAGTTAGCAACCCGCGAGCAACCGGGCGGACGGCGAGCTGCACTCCCAGAAATGAGAAATAGGAGAAGCGGCGTACCTTCTTTCGCGGGAGTGCCGAACAGCGACACTTTTAACAAAAAAAGAGAAAAGAGAAAAGATAGGAACGGGCCCGGCAGACGCTGGCCGGCCGCCGCGGGGCTCGTTCGCACAGACGTAACAACACACAGGTACGCACCGCTCACGCACCTCTACACCGGGAGGGGGAGGGGGGAGGGGGGCATACCCATAAAAGGGGATTCATCAGCTGCAATTCCAGTTTCATTTTCAAGGAGATATAGATGTCCGGCGAGGACGGGAAGACGCTGCCCGCCGCCATCGAACAGAGAAAGAGAGAGATCGCAGTGGACGCACCAGGTGTGTGCGTATGCGGGTAGGGAGGACCTCGAAGGGGAGCCTATCGGCAGTATCCGAGGGGTGTCAAAGCAGAAGATACATAGGGTAGAGGGGGAGCGTAGGACATTGCAGGCGCCGGCCAGCCGCTGCGATGTCCGCGGACGATGAAAGAGGGGGTACATGAAGTGCGAGGCTGACTCACAAAGACGTTTTTCCAAGGCACGCAGTGGCCGGACGAGACACGGCGTGCTGAACGGAGACCCCGCCCTCGGAGAGCATGTCAGTACTGAGATATCGTAAATATATTACTAAGCCGAGAAAGGACGATACTGAAGATTTTGCTGCGGAGGCGTCCTGGTGTGGGGTGAGGGGGAACCTGTCCTGCAGCTCACGAAGACACGGTGAGCCCAACGGCCGACGATGAGGCTGCCGAACGGCGATCAACTCGTTCGACAACCCCACCGCCGTGAACGCACGATCACCATCACTGCACTCACCTGCGCATCCCAATACGCCCGCCTACGCAATCACGCCGTCCCCGCCGATCTTCCACCACGCACCCTCGAAGGCGCCCCCAGCTGCCTTGACGTAGTGGCCCCCGGAGCGCCTCGATTTCTTCTCCTCAGCGTCCGAGCATGCTCGGCGAGAGGACCACGACGTCCACGGCCTCGTCCGTCTCCTTCTGGACCCTCCTAATCGCCGACAGGACGTGGACGAGGGGCGCATCGTCCTCCGAGCTGAAAGATCCAGAAACGCGCGCCTCTGCTGCAGCTCCTGGAGCGTGCAGTGCTCCGCGATGTCGTTCAGGAGGGGAGCGTCTCCTACTCCGAGTCGCGCAGCGCCTGGCGGATCGTGCACGCGCCCTGTGATCGTCGTCAAATGAAGCAGAACTTGCGTCAGTAGCATCAGAATAAGAGTAGGAAGTCTCACCCTCCTCCTCGACAACCGCCTCCCCCTCCCCCTCCTCCTCGACTCCGGCGTACTGGTCCCTCCGGAGCCTCCGGTCCAGCTCATCCCGCCTCACCTCCCGCTTCTCGATGAACTGCTCGAAAGTGTCGACGGTCACGGGCCCAATCTTCCTGTCAGCGCTGACGGCCACGGTGTAGTCAGACGTCTGGTAAAACACGCTCGTGTGCGTGCGTGCGTGCGTGGTAGGCGCAGGGTGTGTGCGAGCAGGTATGCTCGCGGCGGTAGATAGCAAGTATCTGAGGATCGTCAGAAGAAATGCAACAACCCTTATCCGCCAGAGCACGTAGTATACGAGACAGCCTTGGCTGCTGTATCGGATGGGACGGGCGCGGGGGGACAGGCGTGTCGGTACGAGCAAGGCGCGTCCTGGTCACGCGGGCGGTCAGCCACACTTCTCCCGCCGATCGCGTCTCGGGCAATGCCGGAAGTCAACAGTGGAACAGAGTTCTCTGCCACACTAGGGAACATCGGGACTGTTGGCTTGCCTCCATATACGCGACTGTACCCTGCGCTTGCACTTGTCGCTGGCCAATGCGTACCACATATTAATTGCTACTGTCTTCCCGCATGCATCGTATATCAGGCTGAGAGGCCATGTATGGCAGTTATACTATAGGCGTGGCGAAATAGATCTATAACTGAGTTTGAATGATATAGTTCGGACTTCGAATCGTTATACTGTATTCGGCAGGTGTTCTCACGCTTGTGGCACCGCATGCACATGCCATCCTCCAGCCTCCCTACCTTTTCACGATGCGTGCAAGCTTCCTACTGAAGCGATCCCATCCAGAATTGTTTGTAAAATGAAAGAGATATATTGTTTTGGAGAATTTGACCGAAAATGCGCTTTTTTGCCGCTTATGGTGCTATTTCACTCCCAAAATTGGGGCTGAAGAGTTGTATCTGTACTGTGAGATCCGGGACACAGCTAGGTAGAAGTATGATAGGTAGATAAGTGATAAGTGGTTCATTAAGTTTGGGATGCATAAAGTGAGCGGCGCGACAGCACCGCCGAAAAAATATGATTTTGACTTCCAGGTTGCTTAATTTCTTGCGATTCACGTGAGCAGTGGGATATGCATAGAGGCGTCCATTCAAACTTAAAATACCACCAGGTTGTGCCTTAAGCTATCCAGAGAGTTAATACGGCGTGCAGTGCCGCGAAGCAAAATTCATGTGCTGTGGAAACTGAAGAAACTAGCCTCGAGGGATATTCAAGCCACGGGAGATCCCTGAATATAGCACTAATATACCCTTTCAGTAATATACCCCTTCTGAAGCTCACGGGGCCCGAACGGAG